AATCTAAAAACAAAGAATTGAAAAATGTAAGTAAGTTAGATAATTCATCCAATAAGGCCAACAACTAATATCTAGAGTTATAGAAGAGGAAATTTTAATGTTTATGGTATCAAAATTTAACTTTAGAATTGTAATACAAGATACTGTCTTCAAATTAAGGAAAATAAGCCTCTAGATTGACAAGAACTCATTGAAAACAACACGTAAAGAATGAAAAAGAGCCTATTCCAGGGTCTAACATAGTAAAATTTTTTAAATCATGGGAAAAAAAAGATAACTATGAAAGTTTCTAGGAACAAAAAATGTATTAGGGATCAGAAAATATAGTGCTTTTCAATTATAATATTAGAATCTTGAAGACAATGGAGTAGTTTCTTAAAAATCCTAAGTGAACATTAATTCAAATAGAACTTTATGCTCAAGCCAGATTATTGAGTTTATCATATAATAACAGGATTTTGAAGCATACAAATATACCCCAAAATGTATTTTTTGCACCCTTTCTTATGAAAGCTATCTTGAGAATGTAGCTCAATCTTTCTCTACCATACATACAAACACACATAATACTTGCCACAAGCCAGAGATCAAAAAAAGTAGACATAAAGCACCAAGGATACATGAGAGATGGTTATAAAGGAACTTACAGTTTATCCTTATTTGATCATTTGAAAAAATATTATTGATACATATTTGGCAATACTGTTTGAATACTTTGGGGGCAAATATCAGTTACCTAGAAAAATAAACTATCAAAAACTTAGATAGTCAGGTATGATGACACATGCTTATAGTCCCAGCTACCTGGGAGACTGAGGGAAGAGAACAGTTGAGGCCAGGATTTTAAGGGCTGCCTAGGCAGCATAGCAAGACCCCTTCTCAAGATAAAACAAAAGACTAGGTAATTAATTTCAGAAATAATATAGGAAAATTAAAGTAATGCTCATCTTAGTAGTGAGCAAATTTTCCATAATCATAATGTAAATGAACTACTGACTAATGATTAACCAAAAATTTTATATGGGAGCATAAGTTGGATATGTAGGGTAGCTGGTATAAGAGACCTTAATTGTTCCTTTTTTAAAATTTTTTTTAATTTATTTTTTTGAGACAGGGTTTCATTATGTTGTTGCCCAGGCTGGCCTCAAATTCCTAGACTTAAGGGGTCTTCCTGCCTCAGCCTTGTAGCTGGGACTACAAGCACATACTAAAATTAATTGTGTCACCTTTAATATAGGAAATTGATGTATAATGTCTAATATTGCAAAATCAAAAAATAGCAATAGAAGCATGTCATTTAAAAATATAAAGAAAAATTACAGAACAGTTAATAATGTGCCATTGGAGATTAGGTTTGGAGATAGGCTAAAAGACATTGCTCTTCTTTGCTATGAAAAATTGAGTACTATTTAGCTCATGTTAGGTGCATTACTTTAGTAAGAAAAATTAATCAATAATAAAAATAAAGTCACATATGTCCATTATTAAGAAAAAACTTTCCACAGTGTGGAAAAATATTAACAGTAATCAATCTCCATTTCTTCACGCCCCATTCCTGGTACTCTTCTCCTAACCAATTTTAACAGTTCCTACTTTAAGCTGTTCTGGTGGCTATACTAATTTTTTTTTTAGGTACTGGGGCTTGAACCCATGTCCTGTACATGCTAGGTAAGGGCTTTACCAATAAGCTATGTCTTCAGCCAATCTATTCATGATTTGAAGAATAACTTTTGGTAAGATACAGAGCTATCTGGACCTCCCTTGCCCAGTTGGCAAAAGGATAATGACGTAAAACTGCATTGTAGACATGCAGGTTAATAGTGTGCTTTGAGAGTAACATACAGTTGGCCTATGACTGTTGTTGGTCTTTCATTCCTGAGCCACCATACATAGCCAAGGAAACAGCCCTGACCTAGTTGGGTGAGGCAAGGGGTTATCCTGCCAGTGGGAGCATGGCATTTCTGGCAAGAGATTTCTCTTCTAACTGTTGGAGTTGGTGCCATGGCAGATTTTCCTGACACAGGGAGTAAGTGTTGAGCCCTGGTCCAGCTGGTTAGATTATTTGTTGGTTTTTGATTATCTGCACCAATAAGCTGTTTTTCTGGCATGGATAATCAGAAGCAGGTAGTAATTTTCCATCTTCCTAACAAAAAGGCCTTTTTGCATTTTAAAATTATAATAGATAAAGTTTTCTTCATTTTTTTTTACCAAAATAATGCTCTGTAGAGGGAACAAAGGAGAAATTTTATTGAATTAAATCAATGACTTATTAAGGATAGTCAGATACTGTTAGGCAGATCATTTTTTCTACTTATCCTTTTGCCGGTCTTGAAAGATATTTTAAATAGGGAGAGAAATCAGTGGTAATAATGATACTAGCTGTCTCATATCTCTTATGTGTTCAGCACTCTGCTAAGTACTCGTCATCCTATTCAGTCTTCACAGCATCTTTGGAGCTTGCTGCAGTTATCACTTTCTTTTTCTGCTGAAGAATGTATGATATTTGAGCAACTTGTCTGAGGTCACAGAGCTAAAAAGTGTCAGAACTATGTCTGAGACCTGATTGTGTTGGCTCTTGGACCTATGCTCTTTATCTCTGACTGGATTTTAGTGTAGCCTCTGACTTTTTATTACATGAGAATAAGAAAGCAGCTGATTTATACTTAAAACCTAGTTACCACTCTAAGATATATATGTTACTTTTATTGCACAGTGGTTTCAAAACTTATTTTATTATTTTTAAGAAAGCTCGGGTTTTATGTTTTCTATTTCTATCATTCTTTTTGTATCCCCTCCATTCAAAATTCTGAAGTCATCTTTGGTCTCTTTCTACATTCTGCCTTTCCATTTTTTCCCCCCATAAAATCACCATGTTCTCTTCAAATTTGTGTTTAAAGTCTACTTTTCCTGTCTGGAATATTAAAACTATCTCTTCATGGCCTCCCTTCTACCATTACTTGCCACCTTAAACTGATCATAGATATTGATCCAATTTGTAAGTGCAGCTTTTTTCATATTGCATACCTTTTCTTTTTTTGTGTACTGGGGATTGAAGCCAGGGTCACCTTACCACTGAGCTATACCCCTACGTCCTTTTTATTTTTTTATTTTGATACAATGGCTTCCTAAGTTGCTGAGTCTGTCCTTGTACTTATGATCTTCCTGCCTCAGCCTCCCTAGTCACCGGGATTATGGGTATGTGCCACTATACCCAGCAGTATTTCCTATTATTTATAAGAAAAGTATAGCTCTACTAATCTCTTCTTCAACACCTTTCATAATATGATGTAAGCTTTCATTCCATGAGTTTTTGTACTCTTACTTTTTCACTTTTCTTGTCCATGCAAATTTATCCCTCATTTGGCATGAATTTTCTTTATAATTCATTTGTCATTGTCTCTATGACTTGTATTTTGATAGTCTTTTTGTGTATACATGTCTCATTTATCCTTGTTAAATCATGTGTATAGAGATTGATACTGAGTTCATCATAGTATTTAGCACAGTTTCTTGTAAATAGAACTGTGTAAAAAATTTAATGATGGACTCCTGAACTTTTAAAGTCAACATGTGATTCAGATTTTATACTTCTTTGCTTTTGTTAATTCCATTTAGGCAAGTAAAACTTAATAGACTTTTCCATTAAGTTTTCATATCTTTAATTATATTTAATTATGAGATTAGAAATGTATTAGTATTAACTTAAATAATTTAAAATATTTTAAAGAAATAAATCAATTTTATTTAGTATTCTGGTCTGAAAGATATAGGAAATCTACCCTGGATGAAAGTGACACATTCATTATTACATAGGTTTTAAAAAAAAATATTTGAGAACTTGTAATAAGTGATTGTTGGTAATGTGTAGTTTTGATGGGGATAAACTGAATACAGTATTACAAATTTAAGAAAAAATATAATGAATTGTTTAGTTTATCTTATATTATAGTGGGAGATCATTCAGAATAATGAGTAATGACATAAATTTTTTTAAAATATATTTAAACAGTAAGTTTAAAATACTCTGCTTAAGCATAATTTTGTTTTCCAAAAGGACATTTTTTGTATGCATCAGAATTACTCCTTGCTCTCTGTTGAACTTGAAAATGTTTCTGCTCTTTTTTTTTTAACTTTGTTTTGTTGTAATATAGACTAAATATTTTTAAATGTTCAGCTCTATTTTCTTTTCCTTAATTTTATAGCTGCTCTGTGATAAATATTTCTACTTAAATTTGTAAATTACTTTAAACTGTGTTCTATTTAAGATATTTCTGCTTGGAAATATTTGAGTGTTAAGGGTAATTTATTCATGAAACCAAACAATAAGCTATATAAATTGTCATATATTTATATGTTCATTTATTAGTCTTAAGAATGTTTTGTTGTGTTTTTAAATGCAAATTTTATTGTAATATTATTTTAGCTCTGAAGTCTCATATTCTTGTAAGCCAAAGGTTCTCATGCTGAATTATTTTTTCCAAATAATATTCAGTATCATAATGATGCCTTCTTCTATACCTCATGTTTTCCTAAAAGATACCTAAAATATTTTTATATTTGTTTTTATAACATCTAAATGAAACCATCAATCTATCTTTCACAGTAAAAAGTCACTTATCTGATATAAATTATGACATGTATCTGATCAAATCTCTTAGACAAAAAATGTTACATTTTAAAGATTATGAATTTTTAAGTTCCAATGACTTTTTAAAGGGAATAAGCTTTAGAATGAAAATGCTGATTATTCATCTTGACTACTCTTATTTAATCATTTCATTTTAAGAATCAATCTTAATGTTACAATCCAAAAAAATCCTCACTAATGTGCCTTTTTGGATGTGCAAATTTCCTTTGTCATAAAACAGAAGCTAGCCTAAATTTTCTAATAATTTTTCATCACATTAAAATTCATGGTAAAAATAAAAATGATCTAATTTTGAAGTCAAGTGCATATATTTGATATACATGCTTCCCCCCACCCTTTATCTCTACCTAAGGAAATAGAGAAATTGAGACTAGAACTGAGTGAAAGCAAGCAGCACATGGAACAGGAGCAGCAGAAGGCAGCCCGGGCCAGAGAGGAGTGCCTGAAACTAACAGAACTGCTGGGCGAATCTGAGCACCAACTGCACCTCACCAGGTACTCCTTAATCCCATTACGCACCCCAGCACTGATTTCATTCCACTGATTTTTGCCACAGGCTTCCAAACAGTTGTTAGAGTTAGTCTTAGTCATTCAATTCACACACAGCTTTCAAGCATATTAAGAAAAGTGGAGATGTGGTAAGTAAAACACCCAGACATGTGAATGATAAGTGTGGCAGGGATTTACTGATAGATTACAAAACCTTTCATTTACCATGCTCAAATATTTAAGTGATTCTCTATCAATACAAGCAAAATGACATTTTTTTCTACCACTACCACTCCTCTCCTGTTAATCCTGTGTCTAATAAAAATGTTGAAATGAAGTATCTGAGGAATATGTTTAGGAAAATAATGAGATACTGTCAGTAGTGAAAGGCACCGAGCATAAGAAATCCTAAGATGCAAATTGAAATGGAGCTGATACAAAATAAGGATCTGCATCTTAAAGAGGTGTAAATTTAGAGATGCTATCAATTGGCACTATTCATGGTCAAATCATTATTTCGATCATATTTACACCATTGAAGTTTCAAATTGCATTGTTTCCACCATGAAATTTGCAATGTGATCATCATTGTTGTAAACTTTAGTAAACATATAGCTCAGCCCTAGATTAAAATAAAACTCTCTAGGTTGCAAGCATTGGGAATTTGCTGTATTGGAAGCATACAAACACATGCACATACATAAATACACAAAGGGAAAAATTCAAATATAGTCGATATATCACTTTACCATGTAAGTGGTTTCTTCTCACTTTGAGTTTTAGTACAGTTTTTCAGTTTTCAGATCAAGCCTTTGGGTTTATTCATTCTTAGAGTTTTTCAGTTTGCAGAGAGAATTTTGTCTAAATACACATGTAAGTTTATGATATTTGATTTAGTTTATAAAATAGAAAAACACTGGTCTTCCAATTATAGTACTGTGTTGAATTTAAACTATGAAAGGGGACTGATCCCTTTTACATTAAATATGACAATGTAATTCTGAGCACGGTATGATAACAGATGGAGAAAAGCACCACTTGAACAGCCTGCATTTGGAGAAAAAATATTCTAGAGGTTGGTGAACCTCCCAAAGTTTTGGGTTAGTGTTAAGATGCCTCCAGTTCTGTTAAAATCAAACTTTGTTAAAAACATTTTGTTATGATAATAATCCAAATGTTTGACACTTCCCTATTTAAACAGTGAAAAGAAAAAGAGATGAAAGAAAGAGATAAAAAAATCATTTATACATGTAAAAAAAATTCAATAGATATAACACTTTTCAGAGTAAACATTGCTTAATACTACAGAATAGTTTCTTTTAATGCCTATTATCACTGTGAAACTGAGAAAATAATATTAACATAGTACCTATAGCCATTTAATCTTAGTAGTTTCAGAATTTACTTCATCATGATAATGTAGATGTCTATTCTTTTCTGTCAGACTTCAACTGAGAACCAACCATTTTTGTGCTAAGCACTACTGACCCACAGAAATAGGACAGCTTTTAATGTCTCAGTGTAGCTCAGCTTCGGTAAATAAATATTAATGCTAGTTTTGCCCCTTTTGCCATTCTCTCTTATTCAGAGAGTTAATTTCTGAAGTTAAAGTCTGTAGAGAGTTTTTCTGAGCAGTATCAATTTGTGCTGTTTGACAAGATCAATTTCTTCCAAGTAGAGCATATTAAGATGCAGCAACTGCTGAAAATGGACGAGTGGTAACTAATTCCTTTGTTCTTAAGAAAAACTGTTTTGCTTTGGTTCTGTAGAAAGCTTTTTTTTCTTTTTCTGTTGTGCTGTATTTACACTATTTCTACAAAAATTTAAGCCTAGTTTTATAGGAAATAAAACACAATTACTGATTTTCTAAGTGCAATACTCTTTTTTGTAAGCATTTCGTATTTAATGTTCATGGTTTGTAAAATCCATATTTATAAATTTAAAGATGACTGTTAAAATGTAAGGTATTGTACATATCTCTCCTTAGAACTGAAAATATAACTTTGTTGTTGGGTTAAATATTTTTGAAATGTTTTTTTTGTTTTCTTAAAGAGTTTGCTAGACCTCGACATTCTTTATTGATTCAGCATACCCAGGTGTGTAAATGAGAACCATTGCATCTTTTTTCTTCAGTGTGGACCAGCTGAAATATATAACTCCCACACAAATAGTCAGTTTCAAACATTTTAAATGGCATATTCTAAACAAAGTTTAAAATTGAATATGAAAACTACATTAGAAAGTAATGGTGAAATAAAAATCCAAATTTTTAGGGGCAAAAAAAATTTTAAACTGAAGTAGAAATCTCTACAACACTCTGAAAGAAAAACAGTCTTCTACTCTTTCAGTGTTTCTCCTTATGTAAGCTTAAATTGGATTTTAAAGGGGAAAATGGAAATTTAGCCTTTATTGCAGGACCCAATCGGTAAGTATAATTTTCACTTAATTTATTATATTTAGTAAGCATCTATGATCTTATAAGTACTCTGACTCTGGCCTAAAGAGAATAAGAAGACTCAATTTCTAACCTTACATTGCTCACATTCAACAAAAGGAGGCAGTTCATATTGCATTTATAACAGAGTGTGACAATAGTGAAATTCTAGAAGTAAAGATTACCACGTGAACATGTAGAAAGGAGAATTGACTTTTTCTGCATTGGAAGTAGATGATAATCAGGGAAAGATGATAATGAAAGGTGATAGGAAGGGGAAGATATTTGGTAACAATCTTGATAAATAAGTTCATGGGTAGAAATTCTCCAGGTGAAAAATGGTGAGGTGAATGTCACAGATAGAGGAATCTATATACGCAAAGACATGAAGATGAGAGAGAACATAAATTCTATAATCAGGGTAGGTGTTTGATAAGAGATAAGACTGAAAAGGAGATTAGTGACAAGAGGACTTGTAGGCTATGCTCTGAAGATTTGGCTATTCTAAGAGTAATTGATTGATTGTTCTTGATGCATTTTAAGCAGGTTGTTAATATGATCAACTTTTTGTGTTGTGATCCTAACTCAGACAACAATGTGGAGAGTGACTTTGGAGAGTTGATAAAAGGAAACAAGATCAGTTAGGCTATGGTCAGCAGCTATACCCTTTGGGCCAAATCTGGACCATTATCTGTTTTTGTATGACCCATGCACTAAGGATTGTTTTTATATTTTTTAATAGTTGGGGGAAAAATGAAAATAATGTGTTGTTCTGGGTGCAGTAGCATGTACCTGTACTCCCAGCAGCTTCTGGGGAAGGTGAGGCAAGAGAATCACTCGAGCCTAGGAGTTTGAGGCCAGCCTGGACAACTTAGTGAGACTCCATCTTAAACAAACAACAAAAACAACAACATTAAAAAAAAAACCAGCATTTTCTAACACATTAAAAATAATACATTCATATATAAAGTTTTATTGGGACACAGGATTATTCATGATGTTTGATGTATGACACTACCACAGCAGAGTTGAGCTTGGTCTCCAAAGCCTAATAATTTACTGTCTGGTAATTTATAGAGAAAGTTAACCAGCCCCTCAGTTAGGAAGCTGTTTAGTTCAAGTAAGAAATCAAGAGAGCCAGACAGGTCCAAATATGTATTTTTAGAAGGTAACTGAAAGGCACTGTGAAACTACACTGGTTGAGGAAAAGATGTTTAACAGGTACTCAATTAGAATTTAACCGCAATGGTCCAGGTAAAAGGAAAGGAAGCCATATTCAGGAGACATCTAGAGTAGCAGGTAGGAGAGGACAGAACTAAAGGTAACTATTGTTTCTGGCCTAGGTTGACTAGATGATTTTTTAATCCAACTAGGGAATTTGAAAGAGGTAGCAGAGGAAAATAATACATTTTATTTGGAAACTTGGGTGGAAATATCCAATGTAGGTGTTTACACAAAACCTATAAGACTAGAGCCTTAGTTTATATACTTCTACTTAGAAGTATTAGTTGTAGCCAAGGAAGCAGGTTGAAAGCATATAAAGAGAACCCTTTTGTTGTTGTTGTTTGCTTTTCTTTCTTTCTTTTTTTTTTTTAATGTGATAATGGGGATGGAACTCAAGGCTTCAAATGTGCTAGACAAACACTGTACTATTGAACTACATCTCCTGCTGGAGAACCATGTTTTTAAAGTTATTGAAAAAGAGCCTGCAGATGAGGAGACTGAAATATATCTTTCAGGTATATAAGAAATGAATAAAGAAAAATTATTCAAAGGATGCTTTGGTGAAATAACCAAATACTGTTAAAATCATATGCTAATTTTAGGGATGGTCCCCAGGCAGCCTAAGATTTAGGAAACCTTCATTACAGTGTCCTACCTAGGCATTCATTATCTTTGCATCTTTTTGATAGATTACTTTTCTCTTTAGACCTGCTCTTACCTATAAAATGAAGTGAGAATAGATGATTTCTAAATTTCTTTTTAACCCTAATAGTCAATGATTCTAACAATGATTTAAAACAACCCATTCTTAAGTTCCTATTTCTGAATATGAGGTATTTAGATTGCTTGGGGTATCTTTTTTTTTTTAATATTTATTTCTTGGTTTTCAGCGGACATAACAACTTTGTTTGTATGTGGTGCTGAGGATCGAACCCGGGCCGCACGTATGCTAGGTGAGCGCGCTACCGCTTGAGCTACATCCCCAGCCCTGCTTGGGGTATCTTTTGTACAACGAATTTCCTTAGTTTGAACTTCAGCAAGATTTCAAGAAATGTTACTCATATCTACCACTCATGTGTGTCACTTAGCCTCTGCTGATTTCTCACAAGAGCTCTGGGAGTAGGCTCCTTATACCCTTTCAGCCTCTTTCACTAACCACTGCCCAGTGAATATTCCTATGCTACTGCCTTGACTATAGGCCCTACTCTCCAAACCTTTCATGGTGTCACACTATACCAGAAGGTCCAAATCACTGAGCATGGCATTTTAGGTCAACCCATAGACACCAACCTTCCTGCCTATTTCCTTCTTGCCAATCTTCTTATGTGCTGAATTTTGCCAAATGTAA